GACTGATATACCTGTATCGATGGACAGAGAGACAGACACAGGTACACTGACTGATTTATCCATCTGGAGGAAGCGATGGACGGAAGCGGATGGTGGTAATGCCTCCATTTTGCCCCTCCCCCCAATGTCAGCTTGCTCCAGTCCCAGCTTTGAATGGAGCTGGGCTGACCACCAGTCAGCAAGATTTTCCGTCCCGTTACTACCCAGCGTCAAGCCGCTGGCTTTCTGCACACCGTCTTGGCCCCTGCAGTTGAGTCCCGTGTCTGGCAGCCCACTGTGTGACAGGGAGGACACCAATGCGCTGTTGCCTGCAGGGGAAGGTGGAGCTCCGCTGGCGAATGCTGGTCATGTGACACACAGGCGTAAGGCCTGCCTTGTCACTCTCACCCTGGCCGGTCATACAATCGCTGATACTCCCCTCATGAACACCAATATTGACGAAAGTTCTTCTGGCCCAGCTTCAGTTGTTACTAACCCTCCGCGCAGCACCGTCTCCCCCGAAGCCCCATTTACAGCTAACATCACTGCTGAAACAGATGAAAATTCTTCCACCCCATGTATTAGTGCCCCTGCTGTTACTCCTGCTTCTGCTCTTTCTGCTCACCATTCAGATACAGTTGCCCCTGCACCATTGATTATTGCCCATCATACAGACAGTATTGCCCCGACTCCAGAGATCATCGCCAGTGATACAGATATTATCGTCCCAGCTCCAGCTGCTGCTGCAGCTGAGTCAGCCTCTCTTGTGGCCACAGCCGGTGTATCCGGTGGGTCTGGTGATCATCTGCTCGGTGTTTCAGAGGCTGCTCGCAGCTCTTCCTCAGCAGCAGATCTGTCTCCTGTTGCCCCTGTTGCCGAGGCGATGGCTCAACACTGCATGGCATTGCCCACAAGTCCATGCTGCTCATCACCTGGCACTATTCTGACCATCCCTCAGGGGGCCGATTTGGAAGACCCTGGTGGAAGAGCCATTCAGCTGTCTACCCCCCCTGCCTGCATCCTGTCCCAGGGGCTATGTCCGCTAATCTCTGCTGCCTCTGCCATGCTTTCTCAGGGGGAAGAGCATCACCCCCCCCAAACCCCTTCCTTACCACCAGTGCAGGCAGGGATGGACTTCCAGGGGGCGATTGCCACCGCACAGAAGAATTGCAGTGGACATTTCGGATCCGGGGGTGGAAGGATTGTTGGAGATGGTGTCCAGGGACTGGATGCAGAAGAGAACAGGGAATTTGAGCAGTTTGAGGGCAATATTGTAGGCTTCATCAACTACTTTCTGAATCCAAACCCATCTCAAGAAGAGAGCGGCCATGCTGGGGTAGGGAACAGCAATGTTACCGGGCACCAGGAAATGGCACCTAGTGGGTCGAGGAAGAGAGGGAGGCCAAGGAAGAGAGGAAGGCCAAGGACGACGGGGATGGTCAGGACAGAGGTGGTCATGGTGGAGGGGGAGCGAGGAAATCCGTCCTCACTGGAAAGGGGCTGCGGGAGGGAAAGGATAGAGCTCAGGCCGAAGAATCCACAGACAGCTGTCAGTATAATACCCAGGAGGGACCGGGGGCGAGGCAGGGGGGGCGGCAGGAGTGGGCTCAGAGACAGACAGCAGCCAATCAAGATGAGGCTGAAGAAACAACCTGAGGGAGGGGTGTGGGAGATCGTGGATGTGAGGGCGCAGGCCTTCGGAGCTCCAAGACGAAGAAGGGGAAGGCCATGCAAAGGGGCCGTTGGGGGGCGGACACATACCCAGGTGGGTGATCATTTTAATCTGCTGTCGCTTCTCATGTCGTGTCAGTATAAAGTATTTTGCTTACTGTAAGTGTTACACTTAGGTTAATATCAAGGTTTCTCCCCCCCAGGACGCATTTCCAATCATAACGAGACAGAGGGGTCAGCCCGGGGTCCACCCCTTCCGAATGTCCTCTCTTCCCAGTCAGGTTTTCAACGCCCTTGTCTCTCTGCCTGATCTTGCAGAGCTGTCCACATTCCCGTCTCCCTTTCTGTCCGGCCGCAGCTGGCACCCCCTGCAGGCCCAGCTCCGAGCTCCGCTGCCCCCACCCTCCCCACAGGCGGCCCCCGAGGAGTCAGCCGAGCAGTTCGAGAAGCTCCTGGATGATATGGTGGGGCTTGTTATGGGACTCGATGACAATGCTGAGGGTCTCTGCGCTGATGACAGCTCCGCTGGTGGGACTGCCAGCTTCCTGCAGCCCCATCTAGATCCCTCTGCCGACCCTCACTTGACGTATGTGGTCAGCCCTGGATCTTGTCTTCCTTCAGAGGTTGTTATAAACACTTCTCCCTGCAATGTCGCTCCTGCTATGTCCTCCGAGGGTGATTTTGCTGTCACGGCTAATCCAGGTAAGATAACAGTTTGTTTACACATATAAACTAAATATACTCAAGTCAGCTGTCTCTGTCCACTGATATTTTATATTTGAGAAGTCTGTGGGCAGTGTCATGGTACTGAAAGTAGAAATCCAATTTGAGCAAGGAGGCCCGATCACACGGACTCGATCGTCCCTGTGCTGCAAGTTTATTTTTGTTTTGTTATTGAACAGTCACAGGAGATGATATCCAGTGGCACACCAGTAAGCCAGAAATCCAGGCCTCGCACATTTCTTTGCGAGACTGTTTAACGATCATATCCTATTTGCTAATTTATCACAATAAACGTGGGAAATTGTAGGTTGTATCACCTAGCTTGCCGCTGTACAGGTTTCTCCCGCTAGCCGAAAGTAAAGCGTTCCTATGAAACCTTTAATAAGTCGAGATGGTCCAAAGCAAAGAAGCACTTACCATTAATTTATATGAGGAAAATTTTCACACGCTTTCAGACGGAAAAACATGACCTACCAAACAATACCAAGCATCACATAAAACCTAAAATACCACTAACATATAGTAAAAGCAGGAATGATACGATAAAGGCACAGCCTGTGTAAATAAGAAATAATGTATATTATAGAATCATTATAGTCAGCGTTGCTTAATGACAGAGAAACTTTCTAAGAAATACGTCGTCAGGTGATTTTACCATTATGAGAACATCGTAGAGTGGGTACTTACGAAAACCTAGATGGTATAGCCTACTACAGTGTAGCCTAAATAATGATAAAACGTACAATATAGTAAATGCGTAAATCAGTAACACTCATTAAGTATAATGTACTGTACATAATTGCGTGTGCTATATTTTTATATGACTGGCAGCACGGAATGCTCTTTAAACCAGCATCACCACAAACACGTAATGTGTTACACTGTGACGTTACAATGACTACGGTGTGGCTAGGTGACAGGAATACTTGAGCTCCATTATTATCTTATGGGACTGTCATCATTTATGTGGCCCGTTGTTGATCGATCACATGACTTGTATATCTGTAATCGGCTCACTGATAAACAAATACCTCTTCGGATTTCTTTAGGTCACTGAAAACAGGTCTTTTGTAGGTCTTTCGTAAACGCAAACTGGCATAAAGCAAACGTTCATAAAGTGGGGATACCTGCATTACGTTGATTTAAAAAGTAGAATCGGCGCTCTCTCTGTCTCTCAAGGTCATCATGCTTAACCTTGGAGGGCTTTCATTTGTTCCGAAATGTTGTGTGGCTTCGGGTCTCTTGGGTCGTGTGCTCGAGGCCTGGTGATCTGTTGTAATGATGTAGGGTATTAGAGTTGGGTGTCCCAGGAGTCTGTGTTGTTCCAGGTGCTGCTTTATTTCCCAGGCAGCATTTTTATGTACTTTGTGTTTATCCTTCCGTGATGCGGCCATTTCTCTCTTCTCTTTCCACAGTATCCCTGCAGTCTGTCACTGCCACACCCGATGCATCTGTCCCCCACACAAATACTCCTCTTCCTCTTCATGTCCCACACACAAATACTCCTCTTCCTCTTCATGTCCCACACACAAATACTCCTCTTCCTCTTCATGTCCCACACACAAATACTCCTCTTCCTCTTCATGTCCCCCACACAAAGACTCCTGTTCCTCCTGATCCACATCAGGGCACCACCACCGCTTGCAGCCACGGATGCTGTTCCTCCTCCCTCTGCTCTATTTGCTCACACCCCCATGATGAGGCTGCTCCCTGCAGACAACGTTTGTGGTCTTCCAGCAATCCTGTCAACTTCTGTTCTGAATCTGGCAAAGAGTCAATAGTTGGGCCAAAGGATTCCCTCCTGTCGTGTTTTTCTCAGGCTGCCAGGGTCACAATTTCTGGTTTAACTTATGGTTTGCTGCAGACAGCAGACTCTGTAACGCCAGTGAGGTGCTCCGCTGCGGTTCAGCCCAACCCTCGTTCTGGCAGCAACACAGAAAGAGCGGTTCTGAGCCGCAGTACAGGCTGCAGTCGTGCCACAGACACCTCTCTGTACAGCCCACCTCGGGAGACCACAGCAGCAGTGAATGATATCCTGGAGCACATCTTGGGGTCATCTGAAAATGAGTCTGAATCACGATGCGTGAATGATGGTGACGAACCTGAGGGGATTGTGCGGGAGGATGGAGCTGAAGTCCAGGAGGAAGCAACGACCCCTGATGTTTTGGGAGAGCATTCGAGCAAAGACGCACATGATGTGAACGGGACAAAGGATGCAGATGGTCCCTTAAAATGTTCAGAGGGTTCTCAGACAAGCCTCCAGGAGCATGTAACGCCCCTAACAAACATTCTTTCTCCAGTTCAAAAAGAACTTACTTTGGAACCAGAGCAACCCATAAAAACCTCCCAGGACACCTCACACATTCTGGTAGAGTCCCAGATTTCATCTTCAGCTATACACTCCAAACAGCAAAGTTCAAAGGACCTCTCCTGCTGTCCCTCCCCCAGTCCTGAGGGACTACAGATTCCAAGTTTAATGACAGAACACCTTCCAGCAGATTCTTCTCCCAATAGACTACGGAGTCCAGTCACGAAGCAACTAGTTCCCATAGACTGTTCTAAAAGACCTACGGGTGTTCCTGGGGACAAGGGACCACCGGATAACAGGTTGAGGGGCAGAGAGAAGGTAGATGCAGATTATAAGAAGAGGAAAATTGTGACAAGGAGTCAAACTAAGAAAAATAGGACTAAGGAAGCTGAGGATGGCAAAGGACAGACAAGTTCAAACTGGAGAAGACAATCTGTAAAAAGAGGTTTGCAATGTTGTATGCCTGCGTGGGAAAGACATGCAGACGGGACAGTTGTAAAGCGTTTGAGGCGATCAGCAAGTTGGGTTGAAGAAAATTGTGGCAAGTTGCGAGACGGTACATTTAGGTCTGCAGAAAAGAGGAAGTGGGAAGGACAAGCTGCCGGGGTGAATCTGAGGAAGGCCAGCACCTCTGTCTACCGCTTGACGAACAGGAGCACTTGGCCTGGGAAAAAGCCTGGAAACTTTGCAATGAAACGGGAAGCTCGTTACTCATCAGCAAGGGTGTGTATCAGCTGCAATGAGAACTCACCTTTAGACAAACTGGAGAAGTTGGACAGTTATGTAAACAGGCTGACTAAAGCTAAGACCCTGACAAACAAACCAATGAGGACTGAGTATGGTACGAGAAATCTGACTAGTGTGAGAAAACACAAAGCAGATGGAGTAGATAAAGGAGGTCCCTCAAAGAGAGACACTTCAGAAGAAATGTGTAAACCCCGTCTGATCGCTCAGGAAGTTAAAATACCAAGAGATGCCAGAGCTGAAGCCAGTTCAACACTTGGTAAATCCACTGTCAGCTGCTGGCAGGCCAAGAGATACCAAGTTGTGAGTGAACGACAGAAGATGGGGGATTTCCATACAAATGAAGGCAGACTCCATACAAGAGGGAGGAAGAGGAGGATGCAGGATGCTGTGGAGCTGAAAACCAGACAGGGGCCTCCTGATAAGCGAAGGGGGGCCAAACCGATCTGCAGTGTTTGTCTGCAGCAGAGCAGTGTGCCACGGCAGCCTTCACTGGACCTGCTGCAGAAGAGAGCGAAACAAAAGCCCAATGAGCGGAACTCACTCCTAAGGGGTGGGAAGGCGTACACTATGAGGGATGACAGCAGGCTTCTGAACTCCTCGGGGGTTCAAAACGTCAGGGAGCTGATGCAGCGCAAGAGGAGGGTCATGGAGTGCAGGGAGAAGGAGAATCACAGGGAGAGGAGCTCAGGAAAGGAAAAGCAAGAAGAACGAGAGGATTGTGAGGATGGTGGTGCAACCCGTGATGAGCAGGATTGCGTGAACGGAGAAGAAGTGACTGTGCAAGGTGGCAAGTGCCATGGGCAGATCTTGGAAAGCAGGGCCGAGAATGCAAGAGACAGAGAGACCAAGAATAAAGAGGTTCCTACAGAACATGGCGGTGGAGGAACTGGACCGAGTGGGATGGACAGAGTGGATAAACCAGAGGCTGATCGACCAAAAGGGCAGTGTGAACACAATCAAGAAACGACATCTAATGGGACTGAAATACAAGACATGTCAAAGGGAAACTCCATAATATCAGGTAAACTTTGATCTATTAATAAAAAAAACTGAGAAAACCACTTAGATGAAGTTTAAAACTTTACACCAGAAGCTGATTTGCTTAAATAGGCTGTTACTGCCGCTGTTGGTAAAGGCCTTAGATAATGTAATGTTACTCTGTAGCCGTTTTCCAATTGGTTTTTATTTAGAGGTTCAGGTCTGGGAGCCTTTCTTGCATAGTAGTGTCTTATTACATACAATGATTGCAAATGAAAGATTATGACAAAGGAACTTGAGATAGATTTGAAAACGGCAAGTCTCCTGAAAGAAAATGTCTGTCTGCCTCTTGTGGCTTTGCATTAGGATTGGCCGTGCCTTCCCAAAGGCCGCACAACGTCACCAGGGCTTCAGTGGGATGTTTGGAGTCGGAGGACGAGGTAGACGTGGAGGTTGACGTAGAGGTTGACGTGGAGGTTGATGTGTTGGATTGCTCCAGCCCCATCCGTGTTTCATCTGATGCACTACACTGGAGCACAGCACAAGGGTCAAGTGATGCAGAGGAAGATGATGAGGGAGAGGAGGTTGATGTGACTGGCGAAGAATCTGAGTAAAGCCTTATTTTCAACCCCACATAACAAACACCTCTTTGTCTCTCCTCCAAACTCTCTCAAGTGAGGTGAGTTTGTCTCATTTTTCATAATTAACTAGTAGTTATAAATGTACATTCCCGAAAACGTAGATTGTAAACCAATTTAGAAAAAACAGGAGGGGTTGCCTCAAAAACTTTATTGAAAGTAATCAGTTTCATTTAATAAAGCCGTGTAAAATTATACTGTTGTTGTGCTTCTTGTAACACAATGAAAACCTTGCAGTAAAATACTAAAAATAAATAAATAGAAAAATCTTTGCACCTGACTAAATCAAGCCATGTAGATATTCATGTAGATATTCTTGTTTGGTGGTCTGATGATGTGTCATCAAGCAATGAGTCACACACAGCGCAGCAGAAGACATAAACTATAATATCATAGAAATGTCTCTTTGGTATTACTGTAGTTGTGCCACTGCAGTTTAACAGGCTGTGGAATAATTGATGAAAATGCGTATAAAACACGTACAGGCCATTCCCTCAGTAGTCGATAGAGGGTGCTCCGCAATTTCACCGGAAGAATCGCCGTCTGCCTGCTTTTGAATGCGCAACTTTATTGATGAATGTCCTTGTGTAGCTGTTCTCTGGAGGCGGACGAGCGGTGCGCCGTGGTGTGCACACGTGGTTTTTACATCTATATAATTGGAGACGGAAAGTCGTGGCTTGCCGGTGAAAAGGGGGTAGATCGTGGCGTATTTCGGTGAAAAGCCTCAGGGATGGACCCTCTTAAGGCACAGCAGCTGGCGGCGGAGCTTGAAGTGGAAATGATGGCCGATATGTACAATCGGTAATACAGTTGACCATCGAGCGAAATGCCATTGAATGCCATTACTTATTTTATTGCTTACACTAACTGGTCCACGGATTGATATTTGCTTTAATCATTGGCTGGCTTCCTGAGAGCTTTTTAGTTGTAAAGGTTAATTAGTCGCATCTGTGTTTTGTGCAACCCAAGGTAAATCATATGAAGAAAAAGCATTGCGATTGTGGGTAGCTGAAAAGTGTCCCAGTCACGCGGCTGCACATAATTTCGTATTTATGTGAATATGTGTAATCCGTACCTTGTGAACATTAGGGTAGAATTAAATTTGCGAAAGTGCCATCGCACTGTAAAGGACTTAACCAGATCAGCAGGAAACCAAGGTAAACCTTGCATGTACTTGAATGTGTCCGAGTAGGGACTGGCCCATGTGGTATTTATGCTGTGCGTAAAACTGACCTAGCCTTATGACCTTTCTGGCATCCCCTCCGCAGCATGACAAACGCCTGCCACAGAAAGTGTGTGCCCCCGCACTACAAAGAAGCGGAGCTGTCCAAGGGCGAGGCCGTCTGCCTGGACCGCTGTGTGGCCAAGTACCTGGAGCTACACGAGCGGCTGGGCCGCAAACTGACCGAACTCTCGGTGCAGGACGAGGAGATGATGAAGAGGGCGGCGGGGGGCACAGCCTCCGGATAGCAGCGCGGGACGTCTGACGGGCGAAGTTTGCCCATTTAACAGTGTATATATGTTGTGTAAAATTTCACGTTCGTTCGAGTGAAAGAACTGTTATAAAAGGCTTGTTTATTTCGTGTTTGTCATCCAGTGTGTCCGCAGGAAAATTAACATGCTGCATTGTTCCTTTTGTGGCTTCGTGTCAGTCTGACCTGTACACTGTCCAGTTGCTTAAATAAACCTGCAGATTTCTAGTAAGTTTAAGGATTGATGTGACTTTCCGGTTTTTATGCTCTGTGGTGTGAATCTGCACCTTAATAGGAGAAGAACCCTGCGGATGTGAAAATCCTCGAGTAATACTTGCCCCCAACCTCATGATATCTCTGCTAGCTTGACCGATAACATAAGTCTATTTATTGGCAATTTCTAAACCAGCCGTATTGCCCTCGCAAACTCTCCACTACGAAGCGTATCTTCTTGTCAGAGTCATCACAGTCCTCTTCCTCTTAGGAACACTTCCTGAAGGACTAGGAAACACTACCTTTTGGACCCGCTATTAACAATGTAAAATTAGAGGCACTGAATTTTTTAAAGCTCTTACGAAAAGGATGAGGTTGCTGTGAGTGACGATGCGTAGCGGCACCCAAGCCGAGAGGCGCAGATCCAAGGGCTCAACCTTGGGTCGAGCATTGAGTTGTTAAGGTCTCCGCCCATTTAAGTGGGTCCAGGGGGTGTATTATTTCATTTATTAAAGATATGTTATGCACTTACACTAACACGTATTAAATAACATTAATATATATGATTTCATATTGTAATCATTTTCAGTATTATTTACATATATTTGTCAAAATTGTGCTTAAATGTTTTAAACTAGTTATTTACCTGATATAATTATGATCTATAGTCATTGCATATAATATGTATAACGATTTAAAGGTGTACAGATTGAAAGTGAGTCCAACTGGCCTGAGCCCTTGCAATTACATTACAGGCTTAGAGGCTAATAACACTACGGCTGTTTCTTTAAGAACAAGAGGGAAGGGCGCCAAGTTTCATTTCCCCCTTTGATAGAGTCGGAATATAAATCGTGCATATTTATCGCCCGGTGCAGTAGAAAGAGGAAGGTGAGCTTCTAATTCATGTCCTGCAAGAAAACAATACCGAAACTTCTTAAAGATGGCTACGATTAATTCTCCTGCCTAAATTTTGAGATACGCCAGTCCAAGAAAGAAATTTAACAAGGTTTGTGTGTCCGTACATATACGAATGACTATTATTTCATATTTCTAAGTAATGTATCTTATTTTAGCCAAGAGAATATGTTGAAAATATTCCAGAACGAGAGTCAACAAGTCGTCAGCATGTATGTTAAGCGCACTTAGTTGCATACGATTTGAAGGCTATTTATCAATACAATCAATCCATCTTTCAAACTAGTCAGCTAAATGTCAAAAGTTTTCAGCTAAAGTTTTCTTATGCTTTTATTTCTTTTTGCTTTCGTCATCTAAAGGTGTTTGCTCAACGATTTTGCTCCAGAAAGCAGCTTTTAGTTTAAATTAATTTAGTTCTAACGACATAATGCAAATGGTGAGAAGTTTATTTGCATTGTTAAATTCCTGTAATCACCCGATCTGTAATTACAATGGCTAAAAATGTAGAATTCAGGTAATGTTCGTATATGCTAGTGTACGAGCTCTTTTAAATATGCAAATATACATTTTTTTTCTGCCCAATGCTTTAAAAGTTTTTCAAAAACAAAACGTTGTATACATATTAAAAAGTTTTACCTTGGTGCTATTATGTTTTTCCTGCTGTTTCTGAAATTATATACATTGTATTTAAAATGTGTCATGCGGTGATACTAGGTGATATAATGCATTTTTAACTACTTGCAGCAGGTGCATCATACGATCTTCTACCGCAAACGAGCAGATTACATGCTTCAACGTAGCACATTTACGGAAGATTAGTGAGAAATGTGTTAAAAATTCAGTAGATCGCTACCTTGTTGATCCACCCACCAGATGGCAGAAGCACGGGCTGAAAACGTCTATAGTGAAGCTGTGCTTGTTGGCCCGCCACCTGTTGGTGAAACAGAGTTAGTGCAGCCAGATGGATGCGGGCAGGCACAGGTAAGAAATCGCGCTTAAGACAGTATCTGTAATGCATATTTCAGATCCTCTTTTATTTGAATCTTATCTATGATCTCTCTTTGATCTTTATGTATGATTGTCTTCTTCATGTGGTTTGTCTAAAAGCCATTTTACATCATCCTACTTGTTCATTATCACTATTAAACTATTAAACGATTATATATCAAAATTATTATAATTAGGCACTATTCAGTGTTTGCTGAATTTCTGGAGTTTATATAAGCAATAGTTGGTGAAAATACAGTTTACAAATAGGCAGGCATATGCCAACAAGAAATAAATAAATGGTTAGATAGAAAATACATTTCAAAAGAGTTAAAACAAGTGAACATTCATAATGTAATATATCACTATTGCAGCATAAGCAAAGATTTATTGAATTGGCAATCAATGCTTTTTTTCTTTAATAAATTGCTCTATTTGACAGAATTGTTCTGTATCTTTTACCTGAGGGAAGTATCATGGATGCAACGAATGATACAAGTCCTGCATGGACCCTTGCTGACTGCCAATGAGTTTACCTGCTGTTTTCATTACCCTAGACAGCCTGATTTTGTTAAACGCCCATATCAGACGCTTGTACACTCTTTCCAAAACATTCTGGCTGAGCCTGAACCCCTTCAATTTCATAATTAAAAATGACTTTCTGCTGGCCTTATTACAGATGAATTAAACATAAAGTTTGGCTTCTTATCAATGGAAGATACTTAAAGCTGCCGACAGTGGTTGGTTTTGTTGCATTAGGATCATAATCAAACCCATTGACTTATAATAATAATGGAAACATTGAATTACGTATTCTGATATGTATTTGGGTAAAGGATTTAATTACAGGTGTGTATGTCTGAGTGACTGGTGTGCGTGTGTGTGCCCTGCGATGGGTTGGTGCTCCATCCTGGGTTGTTCTATGCCTTGTGCCAGTATAGGCTCTGGACCCCCCACAACCCTGAATAAGACAAGTGGTTACAAAAAATGTATGGATGGATTTAAGAACAGAGAATGAATAAACAAAATGTCTCAAGCAGCTGAGCACCCTTTAGCTGGAGAGGTCCACAGCCTAGAACAGCTCAGATGATGGACGTTCTATTCTATGTATGTGTTTTTTTTAGCCTTTGAATGAGTCGTGTACTAAAGACCCCTGTTCCCAATCAGATGGAGTTTCTAGGTCCTCATACGGAATATGACGAGGAAGAGGAGGAGAAGAAGTATTACCGCAGGATGAGGCTGGGCGTGGTCAAGAACGTGGTGGCGGCCAGCCTGGGCGGAATGATCACGTACAGCGTCTACCTGGGTATGCATTCCAGTTCAGTCAGTAGCTGTTCGATAAACAGTATCTGCAGGCTTCTGGGAAAAAACAGGTTTTTGTTTGTAACTGATGATCTTACGGCCTTCAGCTACGAGACCCATTTAGTTGTAAATAATGAACATTTTTTTTACATTATTGAAAGGGAAATAGCAGAAAGAGACTCTGTTCTATACCTGCTCTGCCACACGGACCACTACCCTAATCCCACTACATACGTGGTCTCCATCCCTAGGTCTGCTTCAAATGCAGCTTATTCTTCATTATGACGAGACGTACCGGGAGGTGAAGTACAGCAGTTTGGGCTTGGAGGATATTGACAAGAAGATGCTCATGGGGATCAACGTCACGCCTATTGTGGGCCTGCTCTACACCCCCGTCCTAATCCGGTACTGCTGACGCTGTCCTGTGCTCCCCAGAGTCCTTCCTGCCAGCTTTTTCTGTCACTAAGCCTGGTCTTCACCTCTATCAGCATTTTAAATCACTCTCTCCAACTCGATTTTTTTTCTCCTCCAAACTCAGGTTTCTTGGCACCAAGTGGATGATGTTTCTGGCATCTGGAATCTATGCTCTTTTCGTATCAACCAATTACTGGGAGCGATACTACACCCTGGTACCATCGGCTGTTGCTATTGGAGTTTCCATTGTACCCTTGTGGGCCTCGCTTGGGAATTACATCACCAGGTAAGAAGTGTGCTGTAGCTAGAATGGACGTGCTCTCAGGTCCTACTGCCTCAAGATCATATGTATAGAAATCTGTGTTAAGTAGCTGTTTTGAAGACAGTGTTAGGAGCTTTAAGTAATTCTTCTTCAATAGTGTGCTTAGTGTAAATCTATTTTAATAAGTGATAAGCACACAAACATATTTTACATGCTTTTGAGAGAAACCATTATTGCTTGTTTGTTTA